AGCGAAGAGGAAGACGAGCCGTCGCGGACGAACAGGGAGCAGTCGCGCAAAGCGCTTCCCAAAAAACTTATTGCCGCCTTCTCCCGGTGCAGAACGTCGAAGGCAGAGGTTCCAGAGACCTGCTCTCCCGATCGCAGGTGCACGCCGACGAGCGGGATGGAGTAATCTACGAGCGACGGCGCAGCACAGAGTCGGAGGCAAACCCTAGATTGATTTCGCGTGTGTTGCGTGAAGACGGCGGGTCGATTTATATAGAGAAGGGTCACTTGATCAGGGCGCCCGCACGATCTCCACTGCGCGTAACCGAACTGGATAAGTCGCGCGTAACTTATCCGGACTCCACGTCGTTTTGCACGCAACGGATTTTTCGGAACGTTTCCAAAACAAAAATGAATCCAAATTTGCGGCAAAACAAAACTGCAAAAGGAGGCTGCATCTGCGCAAGGGTGAGGAGCCAATTTTGCGGACCATTCGACGCGTATGTCGTGCACGCGCGCCGCCTGCCCTGCCCTGCCAGGCAAGCGAGCGCGCGCGTGTTTCCCCTCTTCTCTCCACTACACATGCTTCAAGTGGCTAGGAGGGCATCCTCCCTTTTAAGGAGGTCCCCCTCTCCTAGAATAAGCAAGGTGGTACTAAACTCCACATTCATGCCATCCCATGAGGTGGGCTCCACGCATTTAACAGGTCAAGAAGCTTCAATCAGGTTGAAGGCAGCTAGCTGGCTGAAGCTAGGAACATGTTAGGATTTGTTTGACAGCAAAGAGGTTCTTATGAACCGTTGATAACCACATGATAAAGTTCTTATGAACCATTGATAAACATGTCGGGGAGAAGATTAGCTTGACAGCAAAAAGGTTCTTATGAACTGTTGATAAACATGTTACTTTGTTTCGCTGTTTATGAACTTTTGGCCCTTTTTCCCTCCCTACATTTCATGTGTTTGTTTGTTCTTGTGTCTAGAGATGGAGAGAGAAAAAGCCAGATAATTGTCATGGATTTCTTTTTCTCTTTTCTTTTAAGTCCGAATTGTCATCATCATGAATTTCATTGATAAGTTCCTTTTCTTGTTTCAAGTGGCTCTTTTGATAGAAACGCTAGTGAACACTCATGAAGCAATAAGCATGTTCTGAACTTTTTTTTGTCTAGATTTGTTAAGATCTTGTTCATGTTTATTTGGAATATATACATGCAAGTTTTCATTGGATCAAGATGAGACAAGAAATGTTCTTTTCGTTCCCCTCTTTGCCTCCACGGTCAGATAATTAAAAGTTCAGTTCTTGTGGCATCACTATTTCCCCTTTTTTTTTTCACAGTTGCTTCCTGTATGTATTTTTCCACTTTTCTGGCTAGCTCCAAATGTGATGGGTTAGTCGGCCTGGATTCGAAGCTTCACCTCTTCTATTTATTTGATATTAGGTCATTCCCTAATATTTACGTTTTTTAATCACCATTGTAACTTGTAACTGCATTTGTTCAATGATTCGTTTGTAAGTGAAACAATAATGTAAGTGACCTCCTGCTTACATGTACAAAAACATGAACTGGAATATCTTACGATATGATATTTGATGAGGACAGCAGCACACACCTTGTCCAATGTCCATTAATTGCTCACTAATTTTTAGATAATGGAATATAACATCCAGAAAAGTGTGTAGTTCAGATAAAATAAAACACACCAAACAAAAGCAGAGGAAACCAAGCCAAAATAAGGAGAACTCATTTATTCAAGTCTATTTGTGAATCTCAATCCATAATTAGTAAAAAGTTACATAACCACTGTCTCCAACTTGTGACATGCAACTTTTAGTAATGGAAATACTTACTACTTATTAATGGAAATTCAATAGAGTCCAAGGAAAGTAATTAAGGAAAAAGGGAGAAACAAATGGTGTATCCACTATCCAGAATATTGATGCTTCAACACAGCCACCATCTAAAGCCGTACAAAAGCAAGTTATTTTTTTGAACGAAACAAAAGCAAGTTATTGTCCTAGTCAAATTCAACTAAGTTCAAATCCATCATCTCTCTCTACTCAAACCAGCAAAAACAACTTTTGATACATTTTCATATGCAACTTTCGAGTTTTTAAATGAACCAAGAAATGTGAAGCACTTGTTTTGGTAAGCCTTTGAACAACTTTCAACTGTGCACATCTATTGTTTCCTATCCCCGAATAAAATGTACCCCACTCATAGAAATGTTTTTTACACACAAGTGCCTTTACAGCAGCCACAGTGTGTCCAACGCACTTTACAAAAGTACGGAGTAGTAGTTCACGCTATAATTAGAAGTTTGATTGAAATTGGAACAATGTGATAGAAAAGTTAGAAGTTTGTGTATGTATGAAAGTTTTGATGTGACAGAAAAGGTAAAAGTTTGAAAAAAAAGTTGGGAACTAAACCAGGCCGTACTACTACTACGAAGTGAAAGGAAAGGGTTTACTGCGTGCTGACCCTCAAGAGCTATGTAAGTATGCAACCAAGAAAACACTCCAGACTGCAAGTTTAAGCAAAGCAACAGTAGCTGTTTGCAATTGCTTGTTCAATCATCATAACTATCGCTAAACAAAAGAATTTATTTCACTGTATTATCCACCAATGCGCAAGCCGCAAGCACCAATTTTTACAAAATGCAACAGAAGTTATCAAACAAAACAAAATAAATGCTTTAGACAAGATCAGCCAAGCACAAAAGAGAACTCAATTTATTCCTCTTTTTCCGTCCCTCTTCTGTGACTGACTGACTGCTCGAGTGCTCGGGGATCAATCTTCTAGAGAAGGGAATAAATAGAAACAGCTTTGATAGAATTTATTTCAAATAAAATCAAAATTAGCAATTAGTAAAGGGCGGCTAAAATTATTTTATTGCAAACTTAATAGATTGGTATATACTACGTACTGTGCCTGTCGAGGTGGACGATAATGATGAATTGGGAGAGGCTTAATTAGGTGGAGATTGGAGATCAATAAGTGGAATTAAGGATGACCTCTGATCTTCACATTAGTGATTAGTGATGACGTTTTTTTGTGCGCAATTCCTCTTTTAAGTGGCTTTCATGATGCGACTGGATTTAGTAACGGGCCGACGACGGAAACCTGTTTATTTGGGCCTGATTGGCACAGATGGTAGTGCCATGTGCACTCTTGAAACGTTGATTTAAGATCTAACGGTTTCAGCTAATTGGGGTGATGTGGCTAATTCTCAAAGCAGTTTTATAGCTAGTGGATACCAACTATACCAACTATACAGAAAGAAGGGATTCCTCCGTCCAAAAAACTGGACGTTTCACTGCCCCGGCGCTGTAAAAAAAAGTGTTATTTTAGCAATTTACATTCATGGAACCAGAACGTGCCGAGTTTTGATTTTTTTCCCTACCGTGATGGCATCTCGCGCAGGGTTCCCCTTACCTTTTATGGCGCGATTACCGCCACCCCCTCCCCCCCCCCCCGCGGTAAGGCGGTTTTCGCGGTAACCGCCGGTTACCGCGAAAACCGCGTGGTAACCACGAGACATACCCGTGGTTTTAAAAACTGAAAAGGTTACCGTGCATGGTAACCGCGCGGTTTTGTAAACCCTGGTCTCTCGTCAATTTAGTCGGTATGGATGGATAAGAGCCACATGCGTCCGTTCTCTCTCTCTCTCTATCTCTTTCTTCTCCTCTTCTCCCCTCCTCCCCTTGGCTCTCTCTCTCCATCTCCACCGCGCAGGAGAGCGCAACCCTAGCTACAGCGCATGCAGGGGCTTGTCGTCTCCTCTCTTTCTTCTTCTCTTCTCCCCTCGGCTCTCTCGCACCCTCCCCTCGCCTTTCTCGCGCGTCGGCGGCGGCACCCTCCATAGGAAGGGAGGCGGGGGCGGCAGCGGCGGCGTCTGCGCCTCCCCTCCGCCAGATTTGGCCGGGAGCGGCGGCCCGGCAGGAGGGGAGGCGGGGACGGAGGGAAGGCGACGGCCCGGCGGCGGCGAACGGGAGCAGAAGCAAAAATCTTGTGTTCATGTTGGGTTCTTGAAGTGAAAGTGAAATTGCTCGATGCATCGGCTCGATGCGTAATGGATTTGTGTGAATTTTATTCCTTTTCTTTTTCTGGGGTTATCAGTCGGTGTAGTTCTTATATTTGAAAGTGATGATTGCTCGATTGGGCTTTTAATCCATCTTTGATTTTGTGATTTGCCCGCCGTAAGCGATTAGGATTTTGAATCGATCTCTGATTCTTTTGTGAATTGGCCAGCGTACGCAATGAACTCATACGGATACGGACACAATCAGTGACGACGCGCAAAATTTGTGGCAAAAACATCTTAAACTTTTATAATAGATAAAGAATAATGGTATAAAATAATAGATCCACCAATTTAAATGAAAATCGACGGTAAGATTATAGAATGCCACGTGGCAATCTGGGAGTGCTTGTAGAAACGCCACATGACGGCTTAGAAACATTTATAGAAAGATTAATGGACTTTTAGTAGATAATAGATATGATTAAGTGGAGCCAGGTCTTATATATTTCTAGTTTCTTGATCCAATAGTTATAATTCTAGTTCCAGATATTGGCTCCAGGATGGCTACGGTTCTTGCCGTGATGCTGTCGGCCTGTCGCAGGCCGCTGCCCTCCTCATCCACGCACAAGCAGTCAAGCACCTCTCGTAGAAGCTAAACCTGACCTGGTGCAGTAGCATGCAGAGCATGCGTGGACTAAGCTACGATTTGCTGCACAGTTGAAGCATGAATAAAGGGCTATTATGTCTTTTCAAAAGAACTAACGGTGCAGTAGCTGATGGCAGTGATAAATCGTAACCATAACAAACTTAGGGCGTGTTTGGATAGTGCCCTGACCTGATCGCTCTCATTCAGACGGGTGCATCCAACCACAGACCACCAAAATCGGACGCCTGAGAATCGTGCCTGACTTAGGCGTGATTCTCAGGGTGTGAAGCAAACAAACCCTTAATGACATATAATATATTTTCTCCACAAAAGCAACCAACGACCAGTCGTTGCTGAAACTTCAACAATAGTTGCAAATAGATAATATCCAAAGGCGCCAAAATAAGAGCGGCAGATATTAAAATGTCAATAGTTCCAAGCATGTAGGAGTACTTGAGTTGATCCTAAAGGATAGGCTAACACCGCTCTAAAGAATAGTGCTGCATCTCGATGCTTACAGATAATACAGACGCATGTGTAGAAATGCTTAAGTTGATCTTATCTCCATGCTAACAGATTAGCCTAAGTACGGTACTGATATAACATCTGGATCAAGTCTTCAACAGGGATCGTACCTTCGTCCACCTGAAAAAGATTAAAATAAATAAACAATTTACTTTAGCCTACAATTAAACAAATAGTTCTTTTAGCCTACAATTTAGAGAAGGATAACTCACACCAAGCCTCGTTTCCAAAAAGGTGATCAAATTTTCAGTGCAAACTGCAAGTGATGCTTGGTATGCGCCACGCCCTAGTATTCCAATAACCTTTTCTTCATGCAGGAGGGGACTTCCAGAGTAACCTGCTTTGTTTGGGCATGTAAATTGAATCTCTCTTCTTGTTATATGAGGACCATATTCCACTTTGCATGGTGCACTGCAGATCAATTAAAGAAAAAAAACACGATTTTTTTGTTTATTAGTACACAGCTCAACGAAGATAAGTTTAATTCTCCTAACAAAATAACTGAGGTACAAAATATACCTTATTCCACCTGGGGATACAGTAGGTATTGTTGGCATAATTGCAGTTTGAATATTGCAGCCTGGGAGTTGCTCCAGAAAGCAGTTTCCTAGGAGGAAGACAGGAGTGCCGACTGGCAAATCCACTCCCGGGGCAAAACGCAACGCCGGCAGCATAATTGGCATGTTACTAACTAAGATGAAGGCAATGTCTAAAAATGGATCTTCTAATATTAATTGACCTTGCATGTCCTCTTCAACACCCTGCAGAAACCTAATACGCAGCAAATCCGTAGCTGGGTCAAAGCCCTTGCTTCCTTTGACCACATGGCGACATGTGAGTACAATGCACTTGCCATCTGCTGTAGAACTGATGATAAATCCAGAGCCCGCACCATGCATAACGACTCGACGGCCATCAATCACTTTGACAGGGTAAACGATAACAATGCTGGGCCGATGTTGACGAGCACGCTCCACATCGACTTGAGGTGGATTGGTATTCAAATTGAGACCTAAAAAGAAAATGAACTACTAATTTGGTTAAAATAAGGAACCCAAGAGTAATCGAAAGGGAACTGACACATTGGATGGAACTGAGGAAACTGCGATCGAGCGGCACACGCCCGCAACCCGCGCAATGTCGCCGACCAGAGGTACTTCCCTCTCGCGCGGCACCTAGCTAGTCCACGCGATAGATCGATCGAGGCGCGCGGCTGCTACAAGTCGGGGTCGGGCGCGAGGCAGACGTCGCCACGACCACCAAGCATATGCTGCGGCCGCAGTGAGGAAAAAAAAACATATGTATAGTAGAGAGAGAGAAAAAATACATTAAGCAAAGAAAAATCTTTCTTGAAAAGAAAAAAACAATGCGAAATATATACTCTGTTGCTCATACGAATCAAACCAGGTAAGAAAAACATACACTATTGCTCATACGAATCAAGCCAGCAAGATATAATATACAAAGATGATGTATGCGGAGAGGGAGAGGTGGCGTACCACGGCGGCGATGCCTTTGACGGTCTGCGCCCCTCCGCCCTCGAGTACGTAGACATAGCAGGCGTGCCAGGTGTTTCATGAATGGTTTCATGGTTGATGAGAGGAGTGGAAATGAGAGGAGAGGGGAGGAAGAACAAGCTAGAGGAAGGGGAAGCTAAAGTGGAGTAGAACTGCATTAAAAACTGTGAGAGTTCTCTTCCGTCACCATGGTCACGAGCTGCTCAGCTCTGCTCTCTCCTCTCTGCGTGGTTTCCACTTACGTTCATAACATTCATATGCAGCAGATTTTGAAAAAGGTGTTGACCTCCCTTTTTTCCTATTTGGTGAAGAAGCTCCGCTGTGGCGCTGGAGTTCTTTCTTTTCGTTTGCACAAAACCCCTCCTACTTGTTTAGAAATATTATGTTCTATAGTTCACAAGTGCACTTTTTGGCCCAAGGTACTCTAAAAACATCCTTTTCATATGACAAATGTCTTCGGATCTTTTACATGCATTTCATAGATTTTTGTTCTTGCAAATTGAGCAGATCCAACCTTGACGAACCAGATTGAGTTCTTGGCGTCCGTGTTTGTTCCATTGCCGCCGCACTTCACTTCTCAACTTCGGTACTCGGTAGCTGCTGCTACTACTTACTGGACTACCTCTGTATATAAAAAATGGCTTCATCATATTCAAAGCTAATTTCCTTTTGGGACCGAGGTAGTAACTATTACTAAACGGCATACCAATACTCTACAACATACTTCTTTCATACCAAAATAAACATATGTAATGGTATACAAATACTCTACAACATACTTCTTCCATCCCATAATAAATATATCTAACGGTATACAGCAAATACCGTATTCCTTCCATATCAAAATAAACATATCTAGAATTAGATGGAATATTATCTGGTGCAAAGAATCTGGACATGTTTTTATCTAGATTCGTTATACTAGGTAATATTCTATTATATCTTAGGTTGACTTATTCTGAAACGGGGGAGTAAGTAATTAGGCAAATTTTACAATAAGACAATGCGACTTTACGATTTTAGCTCCTAAACACGTAAAAGACAATCTTTGGAAAAAAAAATACACTGTCAAAACACTGATGCTTGCTGCTAGAAATCGCATCCATTAAAATATACCTTTTTATCAATAGGAAAGAAAAACAACGTGGTAGGTCAAAAAAAAAAACTCATGTCAGTCCTTCCATCTCTCTTTCTCCCTATCCCCATGCATCGCTCCCTCACCACGCCTAGTGTCAGTTAGGCAGCACCATTAGCAGCGCGTCGTGCATGTCCTGCCGGTCATGCCCGCGCCGCACGTCCCTCCTCTCTATCTCAATCTCTCTCCCTCTCTTCCTCCCTAAATTAATGTGGATTCTTCTCAATACATTCAATTTTGCCATAATTTTATCTTTACATTTGATACCTCAAACAAATCAACCAAAGCAGTCAAACAATGGATTATTTCTAAAACCCTAATTGGCAAAAACATTGCATCACTCAAATATGTATTAACTCACATGAATGTGTACAGGTAACATAATTTATTCAAATATTAGTTTATTTATCATACAACAATATATTTTTCCAGAATTTATTTCATCAGTTTAAACCTTAAAATAAATTCAAACAGTGCTCCAACAAGCCTCTTTTCTTTATTTTCCTGAGAATAATATACCCTGAATTTTTTTAGTGCAACTTGGAAAAATGGAAACTAGACACTTAACTATCATCACAAAAATCCACACTATTTTATCAGCCCCCTAACTTAAACTATTGAATTACAAAGAAGTGAGGACGAAAATAAATGAAGAAAATCCTGAAAATCACTCAAACAGTATGTTCAGTGATTTGCTTACCCATCCTTCTCACGCCCTGGACCCACTTGGCAGTCACCTTGGTCCTTGGGTCGTTTCCCTTGTGTGCACCATCTCCAGCCGACCAAAAGACACAGAAAGAAAGATAGTAGAGCGAGAAGGAAGCGGTGCCGACGCGTAGCCTCATCGTGCCCAACGCCGAACACGTGGCCTGGTTTAGTTCGCGAAAAAAAATTTTTTGGTGTCATATCGGATATTTGATCGGATATCGGAAAGAGTTTTTGGACATGAATGAAAAAACTAATTTCATAACTCCCCTGAAAATATCGAGACTAATATTTTGAGCATAATTAATCCATCATTAGCACATGTGGGTTACTATAGCACTTATGGCTAATCATGAAACAATTAGACTCAAAATATTCGTCTTGTGATTTCCCTCTTAACTGTGCAATTAGTTTTTATTTTTATCTATATTTTATGCTGCATGTATGTGTCCAAAATTCGATGTGACTTTTTTGGAGAAAAAATTTGGGAACTAAACCGGTCCTTTATATCCTCCTAGCTGCCTCGCCTCCCCTTTCATGTTCGCTCCTGAGTTGAAGAAACTGAGGGGGAGAACTTCAGCCCCCCTCTTCCATCTCAACCTCGTCGCCGGCCGTGAAGACGACGACCGCCACCAGCGCCGATGAGCCACGATTGCCCTCTCTTTTCTTGTGTTCCTCAATCTACTCTCAATGTCGTCTCTGTTCCATCTAATTTCGTCCCATTCCATGCAGCAGTTGAACGGGAACGTGGACCACGCCCTCGCTGCTCTGGAGTGTGCTCTGAGCATCGCCACTGCGACATCATCGTTGTCCCCGTATTTTTCCGTTCGTCACCTCGTCCGTCGCCCCTCCTCCCCAAAAAAAAATCCCAATCGGAATTCAATCAACCCAAAAAAAATCTCAATCGGAGTTCAATCACACAAATAAAATCGGAGAAAGCATGTACACAAATATATCCAAATCCAAAAAAAAAAAAGATCGAAGGAGGTCGTCGCCGTCGCCGCCGCCGGGACAGTTGGCCGCTGGCGGCTTCCCCCTGCTGGATCCGGCGGAGGGGAGAGCGTCGCCGCCGTTGGGACACCGACGGGCCGCCGCCGCCGCTGCCGGTGGTGTGGAAGGGCGTCGCCACCGCTCGCGGGAGGAAGGGCGCCGCCGCCACTCGAGAGAGGAGGGGCACCGTCGCCGCCGCTCGGGGGGAAGGGCGCCGCTGACGCCGCCAACGCCGCCACTCGGGGGAAGGTTGAGAGAGATGGAGAGAGCATCGGGGCGCGGAGGGGAGGGCGACGAAGAGAGAAGGGAGGGAAGGAAATGGGCTAGGGTTTCAGCGGCCGAGGAGAGAGAGAGAGGGGGGGTTTGTTTCCTCGATCTCGACGCTCGGCCGTCCGATCAAAACCCTAGAGATCGGACGGCCAGAGTCGGCCGGGTCGAAATCGGCCCAAGAGGGATCGAGAGCGAGGCCACTTTTCTGGCCCAAGCCTAGGTTGCGGCCTGGGGAGGGGAAGCGCGCCCGCGCGAGCGCAAAAGGCCATGGGCTGACCGGCAAGGGCCGGAAAGAAGTCTATTTTTGGTCCCTCGGGCCGAAGAAAAAGAGAAGAAGTTCATTTTTAGTACTTTATTTTTTTAGAAGCATTTACAATTATATTACAATTATAGTTATTAAATGTATTTATTTCTAAGCAAACCTGCAAACCTAAAAGGAAGGATTTTCTTTCTTTTTCTGATTAAATAATTGTTAAATGATGTTTGTATTATTAAAATTAGCAATTAAGCTTTGAAATTTTCAATAAAATTCCAAAGAGCGTAACTAATCATGGAGAATTTAATAAAAATAAATTTAACCATGACATTTTATTTCTCACACTTGCTTTACTTGTAAATTTTGTTTAATTATACACATACCTACTTAAAAATACCAAATATTGCAGCAAATTTGTATTTTAACTAATTGCATATTTTTCTGATCTGTACGTTTCCTGTTGCAACGCATGGGCACTTTTGCTAGTACTCCCTTCATTTTATAACGTAAGACTTTCTAGCATTGCCCACATACATATAGATGTTAATGAATCAAACACATGCATATGTCTAGATTAATTAACATCAAAATAAATATGGACAATACTAGAAAGTCTTACAATGTGAAACGAATGAAATACTTAATTAATCATAGAAAATTGCGTTTTCCATGCCGAGAGGATGAGTTCCCCAACTCAACCAAATGAAAACAGCCGGTGGTGGACTTGGTAAAGTAAAGATAGCAAGCCAACCAAACCGGTGATAGACTTGTACTAGTTATAGATGGCCAAAAGGTCCGAGGCCCGACGGCCCGGCCCATGGCACTCCATTTTGGCCCGGCCCAAGCACGGCATGGCCCGATAGAGGTCGGGCCCATGCCGGCCCGGCCCAACCATCTGGCCGTGCCTAGGCCTCTCCACAAGCACGTTGGGCTGGCCCGGCACAATGGGCCGGTAGCTAGGCCCGATACACAAAAAAAATAGGAGAGTAAAAATAGACATATTATATGCCATAAACAAAAAAATATGTACCTATAATAGACTTTTTTTATCTATACATATGTCAGCCCAAAGAGGAGGGACGAAAAATAGACTTATTTTAGCTATACATATGTCAGCCCAAAGAGGAGGGAAGAAAGATAGACTTATTTTAGCTATACATATGTAAGTCCAAAGAGGAGGAACTAAAAATAGACTTATTTTAAAAAAGACCCGATGGGCCACCCATGCCTACGGGCCGGTACGGCACAGCCCGACAGCTGGTGGGCCGTGGCTGGGCTGGAAGTGCAGCCCATGGGCCGGATCGGCCCGGCACGAAGTGCCGATCGGGCCGTGCCCGGCCCGATGGCTGCTGGGCCGTGTCTGGGCCGGGCCGTGCCGGGCGGGCCTTTTGGCCATCTATAACTAGTACTAGGACTAGTAGTACTCCAAATCAGTACTACTAGTAATCACCTTGAGTCCTTGACGCCGCGTCTAGGGTTTCTTCGATCCACTTGACGCCGCGTCGCAGGCACTCCTCGTCTTCCTCGGTCGAAGAAAAGCGGCGGCGGCGGCGGCGGCGGCGGAAGCTGCCGCCTTCCTTCACCCCAAGGCCCAACAGATCGAGGACGCTGACATTATGTTGCAGCTACCTTTCTCCCCCAAAGAGAGTTGGAGTTCACCAGGCAAGCTGTTCTTTTTTACTTTCGTCTCCCCTTGTTCCTCGATCGATCTAACAGTCGCCCATCGCCGCCTCCGCCTCGTCTCCCCTATCGCTTGTCCTCCACCTAACCCAGCCCGACGGTGAACCGGGGAAACTGGGGCTGGCCTTGGATGACGTCGTTTGGTTCGTCGCAGAAGGAGACCCGTCTCCTTCTTGGTGTAGTCGTCGTGCCTTGCCGGGGCGGGGCCAGCAGATGGGCAGGCCTAGGGCTGAATTCATCAATTTTAGTTATTATTAGGCATCATATGTTTCAAAATTTTCATAGAATTTGAAGCCAAGGCCTCTAAACTAATTACCCTATGTCTGGAGTTCTTGCATGTACGATTACGATTAGGAGGGTGGAGTGGGAGGGGAAAAGGATAAAGCGGGGTGGAGTGGGAGGGGAAAAGAATAAAGCCCCCAAAACTACAACTAAGCAATCTGCACCCATACAAGCATCCAGATCCATTCTAATGCTCAGATATAAAACTCACTACACAAGTGGATCTACCTTAATACTTATAAGCCACAGGCTGAACATTTAATTTACTTCATACTAGTTAGTTTCACGGATGAACATGAACCAGATGTATGTTCAGCTGTCGACCAGCCTTCTTTTCGCCACGGAATCTGCCTGGCACTTCCTTTGCTCTCCGCTGTGCTGCTCTGTACACTCCTATGTGACCACTGATTGCACGTCCTCCTGTTTCACTGCAAAGCCACAGGGATTAATGTCTGAAAAAGCTTGCTCAACTATGGGCATGGTGGAGTGCTAGCCTCAACTTTTTTTTTTAGAAATGAGATCATTATATATCGGAGAAAGCCTAACACAATCAGAAACCCAACTCACACACGCACCCGCACACTGGGGACACTCCAGCTTACAACCAAGTTCTGAAACATTTCACTAACATCTAAGGCCCTGTTTGTTTCAGCTTAAGATTATTGTAATCTAGATTATTAAATCAGATTACTCTAAGCTAGATTATAATAAGCTGACATAAAATAAGCTACGAGTTGTTTGTTTCTCTAGATTATTAGAGGCATCTAAGGGTAGTGGGTCTTTATCCACTCAATAATCTGGAAAAAGCTCCTCTAGAGGAGATTATTGGATTATAGTAATCTGGCTTATAGATTATAATAATTTAGCATAATAATCTACTTGTTTGTTTCAGCTTACTCCTAATAATCCAGATTATAATAATCCTAAGCTGAATCAAACAGGGCCTAACTCCAGCACCACTCCTGGAAACAGAGAGAGACAGCAAACTTCTAGCTCCTACAGACCACCCAAAGCTAGCCTGAAATAGCAGCCAACTGTTTTACCCTGGTTGCCTGGCCGATCCAAGTTTGTACCAACTAGCCTATTATTACCTCCGTCTTGTCCAACTATATGCAGGGACTAAGGAACTGGCAACTTCACCGGACCATCAACCTTGACATTAATCCACCTGTATTATTACCCGCTACCATTCCTTTCGTTAGAGCTCTGATGCATGGTTTTGCAGTGTTTCTTTACTGTTTATGACACCACACTTTTTTTTATTTTGCTTAATTCAGTCAATTCAGCCATTGGGCACGTGCGGAAAATTAGGAGGAGGGCTGGTCATTTTCTCTCAAGAAGCTCCAAGAATAAGGCTGCTCACAGTAAGGGGGGACAGACAACCAAGTCATTGATCTCAGGTCCGCTGGCTTCCCTTATATGCATATCTTCTTTTCACCTCTATTTGAGAACTAACACGTGTTTTATAGTGTTTTAAACCAGGCGACTTACATTCGGGCTCTATTCAAGATGTCTGGGCTACTCTCAGCGCTGAAGTTGCATCAAAATTGTCTAAAAGCGTTGTTTCTCTGGCTTTGTCTGATGGTGATATATGTTACCGTTATACATACATTCACAAATTTATATTTTAATAGTGTCCCCGGTTATAAATGGTTTAACCTGCAATCTTGTGTAGGAAACATACCGATATATGCATGCTCAGGCACAGCTATCAGTTGCCAGGAGGGGTCTGGTACAATTTTTCTGACTTCGGCTAGTTTGGTTAGAGCTTTCTATGATACTGAAGAAATTTATGATAACTTAAAGGTTGGTGCTGCTAGTCATCCTTTACTAATTTTCGCTTGTTTGCTTAGGATATTTGTGACTTGTTTCTTGCTTTGTCATTATAGATTGAAGTGCGCCATGAAGGCAATGAAGTGTACAAGGGTTATTTGGCAAAATATGATTTAGACAAGAACTTTGCTGTTGTCTACACCATGGAGTCTCTTGATGTTCATGTTGTACTTTCCGAACATTTGAAGGATAGGTATGCCAAAAAGAAGCTAGTAGCTGTATCGCGTAACAAGTATGGCGGATTAATTACCAAAAGTGTGATGGTGGGTAGTCATCATAATTCAAACAGATCTGAAGTTTGCCATGACATTTCGGTGATGGCTGAGGTACACTCGCATTAATACAAGCACATTTTGACACTTTTCTGTTACCATATGCGCTAAACTTTATCAGAGCCTATAAAAATGGTCTTTTTTTTTCTATGCAACTCTTGTTCAATATCACTTTGTTTTGTTGAAATGTAACCCTTGTTGACCATCACTTTATATTTGTGTTAGGACTGGGAAGGTGGACCTCTCTTTGACTTTGATGGGAAATTTGTTGGCATGAATAAGTTTTTGGCTATGGATACAACCTTTATCCTGTCATGGATGTCAATTCTCATTATCTTTAAGCATTATTTGCCAACCCTGCAAAACAGGATTCTTAAACGGTTACAAAATTTGAAAAGAGTCAGGTATGCCTTACTGATGTTTGCCTCTCGCTGGTTCACCCACTTTTTTCTATCCTCTTACCCTACATGAGTTTATATACAGTAGGCTGATTTGCATGCAAACACATATGAGCTCTTATATGTTCTGCAATGATCTGGATCAATAGCTGTTGGTTCTTAGCCACCTGTACCAAGGCAGTTGACGTCCATTTGTGTGTATCACAGTCAGTGCAGTCAAAAGTGTTAAACAAGCCCTCCTCCCCTTTTAGGTCTTAAGTGCAACTGTGCAAGGTGCTAGGGCACACAAGTGCTCACTCTAGAGGAAAAACAGTGAGGAAGAAAAAAAAAAGGATGAATAGGCTAAGCTGAGCTTCTCATCCTGCCTCCTTTGGCCACCTTCCTCGCCTGTCAGTGAGCTTGGTCCAAAAGCTACTGCTTTGCCCTCCTAGGAAGCACTGTGAGCTCGGTCTGGCAGCTGTGCGAGCTTGGTCTGGCTAGGTTAGAGGGAAAGGAGAAGGGATAGGGGCATGCATGGTTGTCATTATCGTGCTGAGGGAATAGTAGAGGGGCAATGTGTGGCACACAACGAGAGAACCGTGCTGCTGAACAGAGGATAACGCCTTGATGCGTCCTTGTCTGATTTATGGTTTTTGAAGAAGCAAACGGAGGTGAATGAGCACTGTGGGCTGTTTGGTTGATTGAGAGGTAGGACTAGTGGGCTAGTTCATATTTGTCAGATGCACGCCTGTTTTCCCCATTTGCTCTTTTCGCCTAAGGTGACAAGATGACAGCGTGCATTCGTTTTTCACTTGAACCAATAATAATTTTGCTGTATAAATTAGTCATATTTCTTGTTTCCATTGGTGAAGCCTGTTTTGTCTAATTTAAAGGAAATGTGCACACTAAAGGGATTATGATATTTCACAGTTCTGGTGATCTTTTGATGCTCAACTTACCCCTTGTTTTCTTGAAATGTGGGTACAAACCCACACAACTTGGGATCCTCTTTTCTCTCTCTGTTTTACCCTTGCCTATGATGCTACCGTGGTAGGTTTTTGTACTGTGTTGCATATTAATGCACTGGTATGACCTGTTTTACCTTTGGGTTGTTGTTCTTCTGCAGGGATGGAGAGGGACCGGGTGAGCTATCTGACTGTCATCCAGAAGGTGAGCATAGTGCCATACCTTGCATATATTGTGGTTATCTGTAATGTATCTATTTTTAAGGTTCTCACTGGTGGTGCGGGATTAGCTTTTACATTTGAAGTTTCTATTTTATATGAACTTATCACATCTAATAGTAGTGTATTTCAGTGCTAATCAGTAATCATTTGGCCTTGTGCAGCACCAGTTCATAGAGGTGGTCTCGATAAGGAACACGTTGAGTATCTAAACTCCTTGGGTTATCCCAAGCCACCAGTAAACGTGTTAGATGGTGAGTCGATGTTTGTAAATTTGCTAACTTATTGCGCACCACACCTTTTGTACACTATTGACTATTCTACCATGTATCTTCTTCCAGATGGCTTGATATTGGCTTATTCTTTTGAGGAGAATTTTGGCTTTGTATATGGTGAAGTCATTAAAAAGTTTCCTTGTGACATACATCAAAGTGTTGTTGCACTTGCTTCATTCAAAGGTGATTTTACACTAAATAATATAATGTGCTATTCATATTTGCATTTGGTCCTCACTAATAAACAATAATCAAAACTATGCATGTGTGCAGGAGAAAGGAGATTTTTCGCATGCACGGGTTTTTTTATAGAATGGAAGGGATGTACAATTATTCTGACATCAGCGAGCTTGGTTGCAGAGTCTGGTGACAGAAACAAGATTGATGAAAACTTGAGGGTGGGTGCTAATTAATTAGCTCCTCCTACTTATTCTGCTCTTTGTTTAAGTCTCACTCACTTCATTAATTTATTTGCAGATTGAAGTGTTGCTTCCAAACGAACAACGCAGACAAGGAACATTACAGCATTATAGTTTACACTACAATGTTGCTCTAGTCAGTGTCAACGACATGGATTTCCATGCTCGTCCAGCAAATATGAAGCTTGACAATGAGTGTCCACCTCAAGTAGCAGCTCTAGGGCGTTGCTTCGAATCAGGCAAAATAATGGCTGTATGTGGGGATTTGGTTGACTGGACTGGCACACTTGATTGCAATTTCCTTATACGTTCCTCATGCAAAACTACTAAGGTATGTACCGCTAGCTAGCTGTTGATTTAAAATTTCTTGTCTATTTATACACGGTGATTGATTACAAATGACAATTTGTCCATGTCACTCAACGTAGGCTGGAATCGGAGGACCTCTTATTGGTTTGGATGGGAAAGTTATTGGCATGAACTTTTATGATAAAAAAATAGGAACCCCTTACATGCCATGGGATGTAATTCTTAAAATTCTGGCATGTTTTGAGAATGAAAGGTATTTGCGGATTTCTTCTCTCTTTTGGTTATTCAAGTGCTTGCCATCTGATGTCTTCATGTTATTTTTTTTTTTAAAAAAAGACTTGGCTGTAAGATTTGCTAAATATAATTCAATGGTGTGCTTGGCAGTAGTGCTGCTGAAGTTGGCAATGGTAGTGATCCATCTGATGCGCCTGGCTGGAAAATCCCTGGAGATGGCAGTGTCAAGCTAAACAGGTTTTCTGATATTATATATATATATATATATATATATATATATATATATAACAGTGCCAAGTTACGTCTCAAAATCCTCATCACATTGCGTATATTGAACTACATACAGGTGGCCTGTGCCCTTGCCATATTGGCGTCCTCATGACGATGTGGAAGAGCAAGAACCCCCAGAGGGCTGTGAATACCAGTGCACATACAGAAATGGTGAAAGATGGTGCTACCGGTAGAATATGTTCGTTCTACTCCTCTCTCTCTCTCTCTCTCTCTCTCTCTCTAGTAGCCCTGTAATGTTACTACATGTCCCTTGCCGTGTTTTGTTTTGGTGTGTATCGCACTGGGAGTTGAAGAACATTCAGCTATGGTGATGCTGAGATGTTAAATACAATGTTAAGTAAAAGTAGCGTGTCTATCTTGGATATATCCTATTTGTTTTTTAAAAAAATCCCAAAGTATTTGGCAGGACGGGAAGTGCCAAAGCTTCCAACTTGAAACGTATTGAATTTCGCTTTGTGGATGCTGCACGAGTAAAACCGATATTGTGCATTATGTGTTTGTGTGGAAATATAAGGGGTGGGTGGCAGGGGATGCTCATGAGATGGTCGTCTAGCAATGTGTACTTGAAATTGCTACGGGTTTTATTAAAACTCAGATAATTGCTGTGGGCCTCATGGTTCAGTCCATGGACAGATTTCATTAAATATTGGCTCATTATTACTACTTGTAATCGTAATCGTGCATGCGCATTGTACTCCCTCATTTTCATACTACAAGTCGTTACTTACTTTTTTTTTGGGTCAAATTTCTTGACTAAGTTTAAAAAAAAATATATATTAGTATTTTTACCAAAAACAAACATATTGTTAAAATATATTCAATGTGAGATTAAATGAAAGTACTCCCTCTGTTTTAGGTTATAAGACGTTTTGACTTTGGTTAAAGTTAAACAAGTTTATAGATAAATATAGTAATATTTATAATACAAAATTAGTTTCATTAAATCAATAATTGAATATATTTTTATAATAAATTTGTCTTGGGTTGAAAATGATATTGTTTTTTTCTACAAACTTAATCAAACTGGAAGCAGTTTGATTTTGACTAAAGTTAAAACATCTGATAACCTGAAACGGAGGTAATTTGCTACTCCTTCCGCTCCAAAATATAAGGCACATGCATACAACTACCCTTAACCCAAAGACAAGAAACAAATTACCCTAATAAATATAATGCATGCATCCAATAAAATTAGAGATGTTAAGGGTGAAGGATTTAAAAAAGTAATAATTTAATGGGGAAGATGTTCTAGTTAATTATATGCATACATGCATGTCTTATATTACGGAACATCTAAAAAAAAGTAGTTGTGTCTTATATTATGGAATGGATGAAGTAATTTTTATATAAACTTTGTCAAATTTAACAAAGTTTGACTAAGAAAAAAAGTCAAATAACTTATAATATGAAACGGTGAGAGTATGTCTTAAGCATATTACACGTAGACAATAGTTTATTTTCTTTTTTAGTCAACTTGTATTATCTATTTTTAGGCTTGAGTTCATTTCTATGTGTTCCCAACCCATTTCTCTCGTATTCCATGTGCATGCTTTTCAAACGGTTAAACAATGCGTTTTTGCAAAAAAGTTTCTATACGAAAGTTGCTTAAAAAATCATATGGATTCATTTTTGATAAAAAAATTAGCTAATACTTAATTATTTTATGCATTATCGGACCTCTATGTTTTTCCGTGCGCAGCAGCTGCATTCCCAACTTATGGAAACTAACACAGCCTTAGTATTAACTACTTGGATTTCATATAAAAAGTGCAATAGAAAAAAAAAACTGGCATAATTTTATGTGAACCAATTATGGTCAACCAACCAACAGATAGTGTTGCTAGGAGTTTGGGGGCTTGCTAGGGACGCGCGGCGTTTTTTTTTTCTTTTTGCGCCACTTTTTTTTTGCTTTTTCCTTTTTTTTTCGTGCCCCTCCCCTCACGCGTTTTCCTGATTTTTTGTTTTTTTTTCATTAATTAGCCGGCACAGCGCTAGAGAGGGAGAGGAGCGCGATAGAGACCGTCACCTCAGTGGAGGGAGAGCAGCAAGCGTGCCGGGAGCCCGGGAGGAGTTCAATGGAAATAAATTGCTAATCGGGCGGAGCTTACGGTTGTTACTCTTACTTGTTAGTTTAAGTGTGTTGGCTTAATGAGCATGTGCTTAAGAAGGAGAGAACAAGCAGGAGCGGTAGGATGAAATAGACGGCAGATATGGCAGAACTGCACGCCCGTGACGTTTCTTTGGTAAGTCAGACGATCCGAGTTCATCCAAAGCTGGTATGAGTCTGACCGTCTATGCATATAATCCATTGCAAACTTCCAATATTTCCATCACATCAAAAATTTTCTACACACACAAACTTCTAATTTTTCCGTCACATCGTTTTAATTTTAACCAAATTTTCAATTTTAGCGTGAACTAAACACACCCTAATACACTAATGTCAATTGAAATGCTGAAAAAAATCCTAGCCACTTTACTAATGTGCCAATAATTCATCAATTACAGCTACATGCTTGGCAATATTATTATTTAGAGAAGAAAATATTTGCAATAATAAGGTTGTGTTTGACTTCAGATCCAAAATTTTATAAAGTTGTATGTTCCTAGCTTCACGAATTCACGGAACTGAATATGTGATACCGTAACAATTAGATGGATTATTTAACATGCAAATTTTAAATTTAGTGTGGATCTGAGATCTGGAGTAGCCAAACGGATCTAAGGTTGATGCATTGACAACTCTAAGCTGCGATGCCTAATGTCGACGTATGGCTACAAAATTAACAATTAAACATGCTTGTTTTCGTGCTAAATGCCAACACTATCAAGATTAACCGCCTAGAGCAATGGATCAAAATAAGTTGGAGTTGGAAGTACTACCTTCCCATTTTTTTTCTTCCATTTCAATATTTCCCGAGATAATATTTGCGAGAAAAAAATATTACTCCCTCCATTTTTTTCATTTTATGCTGGTTTTCATAAAATAAAACAAAATGTAAACTAATTAATGACTTAACATACAAACAGGGATAATATAATACCCTATTATGATTCCAGTTTATATCTATTTGTCACATAAATTTTCGTTCGTTGTCCCCGTGCACAATCATCGAGCCCACACATCAATAGCATCATTACACAAACATATCTTTGTGATCAAACTTATCCACAATAACATTAACTGGTGCAATACACGGGCAATGTGTCTTTTAAAAACATGGAAACAAAATATGCCATAATTAGAACTCCAAACCATATATAAGTCGATAATAATAATTATTACTATGATTGATTTCGAAATTTTTTTAATTTTAGAAAATATAGAGTGACTATAAATATTAGAACTGCTTAGGAGTATATATTGCTTGTATAGTCCATCCGTTTCAATCAAACATTTTTAACTTTGATTATTAATAAAAAAGATCAATCATGTAAAATTAATGTTCCTAGATTTATCATTAAACAAATTATCGTAATATACAACTCTTTTTATTTAAAATATTTTATTTTATAGATATTATTAGTTAAAGTAGTATCTCGGAGACTGTGTCAAGATCTAAAAAACAATTATATATTTTAAGACAGAGAAAGTACGTACTCACTCAGATCAATAAGAGCAGGTATAATAGTAGGCTAAGCCAGCTGTAAACAATTATATATTTTAAGTCAGAGAAAGTACGACTCAGATTAATAATGCCCGATATTTTCCTCGGGACTGCCTATACATTTGTCGGGTGATTTTTTAACAAGAAATCACCCAGATTTTTTTTACACTTAGATTTATATCCAACGGACTACAAAATAAAATAACAAATACAAATTTACTTATTCAACATTTTTATCAAAATTATAGTGCACTTATATGTCATATCAACTAAATTTACATATGTAGTTTTAGTTATATAGGACTGTAATTTTATATTTTAAATCCTTACATGTCATATCAACTGAATTTACAAATGTAATTTTAGTTATATAGGACTGAAACTTTATACAATTATAGTGTAATTACATTGTAACTTACATATAATTACAGTATAATTATAGTGTAACTTACATGTAACTTCAATGTAACTTTTAAAACACCGCTAGTCATACGAAATAGTCATCACGGGAGATCTCTCACCCGTATTAAAGTAGTATTATCGTTCAATCACTTTCGTTCTATACAGTGGCAAAGCTAAAAAATTAAAGATGCGTACAATACCCTCACTTAGTTATCAGTGCCTTGCCCTAATCAGATGCTAATCGGTAGGTTGAAAAAACGTCAAATTTTAAGTAAAAAATTTGACGACAGATTTATAGGAAAACTGTTTTCCTCGGGCTTCGGACGCCGACGGGAAGGATTCTCGATAACTTCCCTCCTTTCCTCAATTCCGCTCTGCACGGACGGATTTTTCATATCCTTGGACTCTTCCGAAGTTCCAAAACAAAACAAAAAAAAAAGAAAAAAACAGAAACAAACAAACAAATCCGTAAATCCCCGAAATTCCCTACGAAAAACCCAGTCATTACCTACATCAGGACTCCACCGAACGCAAGACAAGAGTAAAACGGAAGCAACTCCCAGCAACAGATCGTCACGGACATGGACAGTACACGAAGACTATAGCTGTGTTTGCAATCCCATTTTCCCAACCCCTCTCCCTCGTTTTCCGCGCGCACGCTTTTTAAACTATTAAACGGTGTATTTTTTGCAAAATGTTTCTATACGAAATTTGTTTAAAAAAATTATATTGATCTATTTTTTTTAAAAAATAGTAAATACTTAATTAATCACGCGGTAATGAATCACTCCGTTTTCAATGCAGGGAGTTTAGTTCCCAGCATCCTATATCCGAACACAGCCGGTACCAGATGTGTCGATGCCGTCTTCCATCAGGACCTGATCTGGCTCGCCCCATATCGCACCTTTGGTTGCTAAGAGCATCTCTAACAGTCTTTTTAAATCGGACTCTCCAAAACACGTATATAACCAGCTTTCTAATTGAATTGTAAGCCAAACTCATTTATCACTCCAACAGCCTCTCCATCTACGCCTTCCATTCTGAATCTATGACACTGGGACCCACGCGTCAGCATCAACTCCCTCGTCCCTCCTTCCTCTTTCTCCCTCCTCCAATCCTCTTCCTCTTTTCCCCCAACGTAGATGGCTACAGCGAGCATGGCGTCGGAAGAGGAGGACGTCGACGGCGACGGCGACGATGGAGGCGAGGCGGCCGGCGCCGAAGAGGGGTCCGGCCCCTTCTTCCCCATCCTGCTCTTCCCTCGTCGCCGTATGCAGCTATGCATCAGCTACGTTCTGAATTCACAAAACTGAAATGATACAAGAAAGATATCAGCACAATGCCATGCTAGAAAAGAATGAAAAGCATGAACAAATGCACTCAGGTTGAGAAGAAAGAAGAATATACCGATCTCGATTTCAACAAGCTTAACAGAGACAAGAAAAACATGAACAAAAAAAGAAGTTCACCTTTCTGCCATCTACCAGATGGAAAGAACCGGGAAGCCATAAATCCTATTCAGTACCCTTTTTCTAATCCGAATTCCCAATTGCTAATCGAGACAAACAAGCAGCGCAGAACAGACGGCTACAGAGATTAAGGTCGTACCTTTGCAAATCTGCAGAGCGCGGATGCGCAGATTGCGGAAGCCCCCGGCGACGACGTCAAAGGTTGTCGTCGATGACGCCGGAGTAGAACAAGAGGGACGGCGACTGGGAGAGGTCCAGCTCGAGGATCCCGGGGAAGCGCGCGGCGAGGCAGCGTAGCATGGCCGGGTCGGGGCGCGCGCGCAGGCGCCACCGATCGGAGCTCTAGACCCGTAGCCAGTGGAGCACGTCGTCGGTGAGCACATCGTTGATGAGCGCGCCGCCGGATACGATGCCCGGAGACGATGGCAGTGGTGCTCGAAACTGATGGGAGAGGAAGAGAGTGCGGGAGGAGAGAGAGAGAGGAGGGAGAGAGTGGGGCCACGATTGGCAAGCCAATTTGGACTGGCCAAATTTAGCCATTGAGGAGCCAGTTTGGCCAGCCATATGGCTTAGCTATCCATTTAGTAAAATTGTTGGAGTTTGTTTTTGTCTATAATTATTAAATTTTAATTTGAAAAGTGAAATAGTCAATCTGTTGGAGATGCTCTAATCTGGCTTAGCTCGGCTCGCCATCGACGCCAGACTGAAGGTGCAAAAGGTTGGCGCCGGTGCCGGCTGCCTCCATTTTAGCGGCTCCTTTTTCCGTGGACCATTTCTTTCGTCGGAACTACGGGATCCAGCCGCGTGTTGCCGCGTGAAAACGAGAGAGGAGAAACGGGAAAATAGAATGACCACAGTGGGTCCCACCGTATGTGTATGTGTCTTGTATTTTTCCTTTTAATAAATCCACCGCACTTTTGCACATCTTAAAGCATGCTTCTACACATCTGGGTACAGTGCCATTTACGATGATGTTGCAAACTACTCATAATTACAATTTATAGTAAATGGTCATATATACTTCCAAAATACATCATATACACGTACAGGCTACAAATTTACACCATACTAAGTCACAATATAAGAACTTCTATAGCCCGCCCAACCACTTATCCAATCTTGTCCCCAGCCATTTCATTCATTTACTGAGCATCACCAACAGATTGGCTAAATCATTCACGATACCAGAAGTTTAGGAATTTTTTTAAAAAAAAACATGCTCCATCAGTATCCCTGAACGTCATTCAAAATTTAGCCACTCCCATCCCCGCGTTTCTCGCTCTCGTCTTGTAGTTGTAGGGGGCAGGGCTCGCTACCAAAATCTATTCACGCGCTTCTTCCCGCAAAGCTCGTGAAATGGTCGAGGTCGTCCGCCGATGCCACCATCCAATCTCCACTGCAGCTTACCGGAATGAAAGGGCAAATTCCATAAGCACCGCAGCTGCATCGAGCTGCTCCGCTGCTGACCACATCTTCCCAGAAAACCGGACGGAAATCATAGCCCCGAGGGCTTGATTCGTCACGCCGACGACTCCCCTCATGGCATAGATGGCCATATGGCCCAAGACCCACGGCCCGGCCCGAAGCCCGCAATTTTGGCCCGGTCCAAGCACAGCCCGGGCCGTGCCTGGGCTGCACCCTCGGCACGGTGGGCCGGCCCGGCAAGGCCCGATCAAATAAAATAAAAGAATTTTGCTGATTTATTTATTGCTATATCCAATTTATGGAATTGATACACCGTTTAATTGATACTATCATTTAGCAAAATGAAACATAGCATATGCATCCATCTTTCGGCTCGAGAATTTCACGGGATAGAGATATGGTATAAGAAATAGGCTATTAAGTAACTCTAAATGAATTGTTTTAGCTCCGGTTCGTGAAGGACCAGAGAAGCTTTCTAGTTATGAATCGGGTATAGAACCCCCTTTATAGCTTCATGCTGTTTGAATAGTTCCAATTAATGGAATCGAAGTCATTACACGAGTGAGTTTAGCAAGTGGAATATCTGACTTTGAAGGAGCTGCTGCAAGTTCTCGAATTGTAGTTGTCAATTCTGGAATACTTTAATTAACTATTTGATTGAATTTTCCCTTCCTTTTATCCTCCCGTCTTATATGGGGGATAGGCCCCCATACCTTATATCTGTATATGGAGAGTATACTTGAAATATAAATTGATTTAAATAGAAAACCTTTGTATATATTCTATATTATTAAAACAAAGTCTAAAAAATATATATAATATGTTAAAAAACTCTTGTCTTATCGCGAAATGTTTCAAAAGAGCATAAAATTTATTTTAAGAACTAAGAATAAGAAAAGAGTATAAAACAAATGGAAAATGTGCGATATGTTGGGAATAGCTCCGCGGAAGAAAATCTAAAGTTCTTATGTATAGAACTTTTTTAACCATGGGTCGCTTCTAGTAGCGATTATGAATTGCTCTCACCGCTCTTTCTATTTCTATTTTCTATTCTTTCTATTCTACTATATAGAAATAGAAAGAATTATATAGAAATAGAAAGAATAGAAAGACTCTTTCTTACAAGAGTTTCTTACAGGAGTGAAACAAAATTAAAGAAAGATCGGTTCAAATCCGATAGTCGTCTTTTTTCTCTATCAATGTTCCATGAACAAAAATACCTCTTTTTCTCCGAACTCACTAACCTCTAGAAACATCTCAAATACAAATCCCTTTTCGATATATTTCTATATACTGTATCCATGTATACAGGATCCGCTATATCTGCTTTGGCACTGGAATGCTCACTTCGTGCCTATCGCGCTATTTCTACATAATTGTCCCTTATCTTATATTGTTTTCTTCTCGTCCTCTGTGTAAATAGCCTAATATGGGTTCACAATCAATAACATCTTCACCATCGAGAGTAACGATCAGTCGAAGAACACCATGCATTGATGGGTGCTGAGGGCCCATATTGACTATCATGAGATCTTTTCTTGTAAGCAGTAGACTCATATCCTTTATTCCTTAATTCATTATTCCATGAAAATGGATTATTCCATGAATTCCTCAAAACGAGGCTCATCAAAATGCAAAATCTAATACTACTATAAGACTACTAATAAAATAAGAAAAAAATTCGAACGATTCTTATTCCATATCCTTTATAAACGAATTTCCCTAAAAAGTAGGGGATGATCCGTGAATTAACCTAACCATCAACTAAAAAAAATCCTACAAAAGCATAATGGAAAAGTAGGAAGGACTCAAAATAGAAAAAACTCACATTGGGTTTAGGGATAATTAGGCTCGAACTGATGACTTCCACCACGTCAAGGTGACACTCTACCGCTGAGTTATATCCCTTCCCTTTTATCCACTAGTTCCCCTCTCTTTAGTTTAACAGGATAGAACAGTTTGATTGCTGACAAGGCTCATAACCGTGGGGTTGCGGGTTTACTGATTACTAGAATTTTTTTGTTAGAATCCAAAAGTTCTTTACTAACTAGAAAGAAAAACGAATACCTACTGCTTATTGCAAATTATTCCTGATTTTAAACCAGAGTAGATTTTCGTGATGTGATTCCCGCTAAAAGCATACATGTACTGTAATGCGCTTCCCCATGGGTATCTGGTAACCACGTATGTAGGGGTATAATCGGCAATTTGACAACATAAGCAATAAGGAAGCCAAAATAAAATAGTATTTCCAATGTTGCAGTGAGCCCTCTCCCCCTTCCATTAGAAGAGGTTTTTGTCCCTCCACCTTCGTTGAAGGCTGTTTATCGGAAGAACCCGTACTTTCCTCTGGGCATCGTATCAAAAATCGCCATTCCTGAGATTAACCACCCGCCGGGGGAGTTTATAAACAAAAAAATATTGCTAATTCCATCTTCTATACTGAGATATACCAAAAAAGTATAGTGATGCCAAATAGACTTATATAATCGTATAAGGCAAGGTCCAAGACAAGAGGTATACAAAATAGACTTATTTTCCAGCCATTTAAACACAGCTCACAGAGTTGAGGGACCAAAAATAGACTTTTTCTGTTATACCTGAACATCCGTCGCCTCTCCCCAAAGCTCATACGCATCCTCGATTTGTCCCGCCGCCATCCCGATTCAACCATTTGGCCGCTGTCCGGACGACGCCACACCGCCGCCTGACATATTGTCTGCTCGACGCCTCCCTGTACCGGCCGCTCGCCGTCGTCCGAGAACACACAGGCGACAACAGGGTGAGGCGACCGCCCAGAACCATCAGAGACGACCAGGCGACTGGTCACGGTGTCTACGATTCAGCGGATTTAATTTGTCGATGGAGAGTTCCTCCATCAAATCAATTTAGCTATTCTGAAATTGTTCCTGCTACTGCTGGTGCTGAATAATCTACTGGATGTTGCTGCTAAATGTGCTGCTACTGTATGCTGGTGTTTCTGTTGCTAAATGCTGATAGTTCGTTGCTGCTGATAAATGCAGCTGGAAATGTTGTTGATGATGCTTGCTGGTTTTTGTTGGTGCTTAACTGATGTTGATATTGCTAATCTGATGATGTTGATCTGGAAGCTAGCTGCTGATGATGCTAATGATGTTATTGATCTGATCATCTGAATGCTGCTGCTACCTGCTCATCTTATTTATGCTGCTTGTCCTTGTATATGCTACTGCTGAGCAACGGGTGGACGCCGGGAGGAGCGCCCGGCCGATCAAGATCACGCGGGACAAAAAAAATAAAACTGATTTATCTTGATTAGTTCATATGCGGCCCACTTTTTTATGTTTTGGGAGTCATTTTTAGGTATTCTCTTGGATAGATCAATATATTCACCCCTCAAATTTTATTTAGGAATCCTAATAACTAAATTTTAGGGATAGAATTTTCATAGTCTCTTGGTGATGCTCTAATTCTTTTTTTTTCACTCTATCTTTAATCCCTCAAAGAAACAACAGAAAAACAGAAAGTTAAATAAATTTTCTTCGTTATATTTTAGGAGAGCCATGGAGGAGTCCCTACTAAAAAGTTAAATCGATTTCATTCATTATCTCATCTTTTGTCAATTGTCATCGTTAGCCTCGCAGCGACTCGTGATGCTACAAACAATCTCACTACATTGGTGGCGACCGAATCAATCCAAAAATCTCTGTATTCCCTATGGCGAGCAAATTAGGAATGCACCAAACATCTTGGGAAGAATGACTTCTCTTATAGCCAGAGGCGTTCGAGAAGGTAAAGACTAATTTGAAAAAAAGAAAGAAAGAAAGCAATGGCCAACATGTACTCCCCTCTTCCAGATGGAGAGAAGAGGGAAACACTAGACGACTTGAGCAATATGAGATAGAAATGGAGGATTACCATGTAAGTCTCTTTGTATCTGTTTAGTCAGTACATTATTTCTGCATAAAGTGCAGGCAGCTGTCTCTGGGAGACTGGGAAAATATCAAGAAAGAAAGGCGAAGGCTTCTTGTTGAAGAAGCTGAGGATAAACAGCAGGGATGGTTTGTGGTAGATGAGAAAAAGGGTTATACAAATCTTAATAACTCGCAACATAGGGGCCACAGAATGTCTTATCAACCACACGAGGAGATTCCACTTTCAAGAGTTAAATAGAACTAAGTTGAATACTTGTATTTAGAGAACATATTTGTTAGGAAGAAAATACTTCATGGCTCATGATAGAGCCGACAAGAAAGTTGGAGTGACAATCTCAGAACTACACATGATAGTGATCTGATCTATGCCTATTGTTGCTGCTTCTCAAAAATACCGATGCTCAAGTAAACCACCAAAAAAGAACTTACTTGAGTCTATGAATGGTGCTAATCAGCAGTAAAGGTCACCAAAAATCTTACTTGAGCCTATGATTGCTACTAATCTGCGGTGAAAATCACCAAAATGTTGCTGCTGGCCTGCTGTTTCTCAAGCCACAAAAAAGGGAACTTGTAACATTTGCTTTGCTCCTTCTTAGGATGGGCGTTGCTGCCTATGGGAACTTCCCTCCCTTCTTCCTTGAAGCAATCTTCTTCTTGGCTGCATCTGACTTCGGCAGCATCGCATTCAGCATACCATCCATATGAGATGTTAACAGTGCCACCTTGATCTCATAGCCACCAAGGTACAAATTGAGCTCTTTCACACAAGTCCCAGCGATTAGTCCCATAACTTTTCCTTTTAGGCTGAAGACCGGAGAACCCACTAATCTGCAATGCCCATTGAAACCCTTCTCGGCATAGTGGCACGTTCCCAGGAAGTAGCACTCAGAACCATTGATATGGTTGCGTCGAAGGTCGAGTGCAGCGGTTGATTCTGATATGACAAAGCCTGGGATGTGGTATGCAGAGGTTGCTGAAGAAGGGGCAAAAACGACAATAGGTTCGGGCATAACCTGACCACGCATCTTCTTGATTGGTCTGCAGTCTGTGTGCCTTTTCGTCCTAAGAGACAGAACGTATCCCCAGAAGCAAAAGCCGAGGCTTCCCGTTCGATCTGATCAAAGAAACAGATCTTGAGGGTATCCTCTCTGCCTGATGCAAATGACGATTGGGTCAACACGTAAGTGTACTTTCCCTTTGATTTCAACACGCATCCGCTGCAATATTCACCATTGGCGTCACGGACTACGACCATCGATTTCCTTGCTCTCTTCTCTACCGGAATGTCCATGAGTTCTACAGATTGCGAGAGGAAGTAACATAAGGACAAGTACTAAAGTAGGTCTACCGGAATGTCCATGAGTTCTACAGATTGCGAGAGGAAGTAATGTAAGGAGAAGTACTAAAGTAGGTACTAGATATGGGGCAAGATGCAACACGGGGAAGCAGCACACGCACCTTCACCTTCAAGGAGTGGAGGAGCAGCAGGTGACCGGGCCATTTCTCCTCCGGCGGCGACGGCGAAAGGATAAGGCGGCGCAACTCTTTGGTGCGGGAGCGGGAGGAGGGGGGATTAGAGAGAGCGAGGCAGCCGCAGAAAAGAAAACCTAGTGGCCAATATGGACAAAGGGAACATGGGATGGGCCGGGATCGCCAATCGAAGGCCGCAATGGGTAACCAGAGCAGGACGGATAAGGCGCACGGGGATGAATAAGTTTATCCAAGGTCCCTGAACTTGTCAACAAAATCTGATTTTCGCTCTTCAAACGAAAAAAAATACAACGGTGCCTCAACCATCAAAACCGGTGCAATATAGGTCCCATAACGATGTGGATGGCAGTTTTAACTGGCATGGTGCCTAAATGGTTAATTCGATTCGGTTTTAATCTGATTTGGCATTGACGTGGCATATGAAGCAAAATTTAACAATTTTAAAAATAAAATAAAATATATGGGCACACATGTCAGTTGAACGAATAAATCTAAAATAATGGGTTATTTAACTTTTGACCACTTTTAAGATATGACAATTAATTATTTTCCACTCGCTGTCTATGACATGTGGGTTCTATGGCAAATCATTTATCACTATCCATAAGAGTAGCAAATAATTAATTGTTCCAAAAAAAATAATGGGCACCACTTCCTCCACGTCATCTCCTCTCTTTTCTGTCTTCTGCTCGCCAACGCCGCTGGAGAACGGGAGAGTGGTGGAGGTCAGGGGCCAGATCACCAGGTTTCATGCGCCTTCTTCTTCATCTACTCGGCGGCGGCGCTTGCATTCCTCAGCTCGAATGCAGCGCACAACGCGCACCCGTCGGCGAGCGCGCGCGGAGAAGGACAAGGGCGGCGGCCACCGGCCGGCGGGGAGAAGGGCAGGGGGCGGCAGCCATCGGGCGGGGAGGGTGGCGAGCGTGTGCGGAGAGGGAGGAGGCCGGCGAGTGCGCGCGGGCCACGCCCCGTCCTCCGAGTTGGATAGTATAGAGAGGTATACTGCGTAACGTGGGACGATTGTATTGAGCCTCAGGGGACCGGTATATATAGGAGTACATGTGAAGGAGATAAGGAAAGATTATAGATAAGGAAGTAATCCACACAAATCAATCATATCCTAATACATTTCTAACTACCATATACTTTAACATCCCCCCGCAGTCCAAGCGTGAGCAGCGCGGACACTTGGACTGGAGAAGAAACCGGCGAGAGTGCTCAATATCGATGATAGCCCTTTGTGCCGTAGACGATGTAGCCGAGATGAAGTTGTCGTAGTCGTAGTAGCCTGTCGTCGCTGATATTGATGCAGCACAAGTCACCCAATAGTGTGCGGTTGTGGTTCGTGGCAAGGATCACGGCGCCAAGCATGAGAGTGTGCGGGTGTAGGCGAAAAGCCAACAAACACGATGACCAAAAGGAAAAAAAAATAAAGAAAAAGTGAAAGTGCATCTACGACCCCTCATTTATTTTGGTGTTAATGACAACACAATTAGAGGTTCACTAATGCTCTTTGTTGAGATAGATGCAAGGATAAAAAGGAATGGAACTTGAGTTTAAAAGCATTGCGGCATCTTTTGTGGTAATTGTCTTCTAATCCATGTATATCTTGTGTTCTTGAGTATCAGGATGCCGAACTATTAAGAGGGATACCACATGCATATAATTGGTAGAACACTAGTGCTCAAAATCCTGCTTTTGAAGTGTTCTTGTTCTTCTCCTGTCGGACTATCCGATATAAGGTCGGATTGTCTGATACATTGGACTATCTGAAATTTCTCAGAACTTTACTCTCTGTGTTGAATTGCTTTTTATTCCTCTTGAGTGATTTTTTTTATGTCAAATCAGACTATCCGATGTGATCGGACTATCCGATGATACAGAGACTCCGAAATTCAATGGAACTTGAGTCTCTGTGAGAGGATGAAATTCATGATTCAAAAATAACGGACTATCCGATATGGCATCGGACTATCCAATCGATCGGATTGTCCGAAATTCTCCAGAATTTCGTTCTCTGTCTCTGGCTTGCTTGGGGTCAAAAACATCAGACTATCCGATGTCACCTCAAAAATATTCTCTCCCAACGGCCACATTTTGGGGATCTATAAATACCCCCCACCTAACCCTTTTCTAGGGTTACCCAACTCATTCATTTACATTCACTTTGGGTTGAGCTTGGTGCTAAGGTGCTTTGAATCTTTGAGCTCTTTCTCCCTCAATCAAATCCCTCCTCATTCTTTGTGTGGTGGATCTTTGTGGTTGTGGATTTGGTGTTTGAGGGCCTAGTGTGTGTTTCACTCGATCTTGAGCACTAGGGTTTGACCAAGAGTTATGTGGTGTTTGTTACTCTTGGAGGTTGAGGACTCCTAGACGGCTAGGTGTCACTCCCGAGCCACCGATCTACGTGTGGTTGGCCGGGAGAAGTTTGTGAATGCCGGATCTCGCCTCCGCAAGGAAAGAGATACCCCTTAGTGGAAGGAGGAGTGCTTAGTGCAACCTCTTGAGGAAAGGGTTAGCAAAGACCCGGCTCTTAGTGAGCTCCTCAACAGAGAGTAGAATCCCCTCAAGGATTTGAACTCCGGGAACAACTCGGTGAACTTCATCGTTGGTGATATCTCTTCTCCCCCTATTTAGCTTTGCTTTTTGTGCCGCTATAGATCTAGTCGCTGTTTACGCCATACTCTTGTTTGTGCACTAGATCTACTTGTTCTGTTTCTTTAGTGGATCAGACAGTCTGATCCAACATCAGACTATCTGATATTGACTGTGGATCAGACTTTCCGACCCTAACTCAATTTTAGCTTCCGCATAAAGTTTTAAATTAGCCTATTCACCCCCCTCTAGGCCTAATTGACCCTTTCAAAAAGAAATTTAAAAAAAAACACTATGGTAATCACGGTGTGAAGACGTTGGTGATGACGGGCAGACGGTGATGTCGACAATGTTGTTGTAGGCTGGGGCAGCAAAACAACAACATCCTTGATCTCGGTGAAACGACGGCGTGGGCGACGCAAACCGATCTCTGATCGAAAAAAAAACAGCAGCAGCGGCTCAGCTCTTTCGTGTCTCCTGACGCACTAACCGGATGCAGCCATGCATGCATGCCATGGAGGCACACAAATTAGAACCATGCATCTTCGTTACCCATCGTTGCATGCACCAACCAGTTACACCTAAAAGCCTAAACTGATAAGGAAAGACGGACAATTCACTTTATACACTCCAACACTCCCCCTCACGCGAGATCCCCTCAAGTCTCAAGCGTGGAATATTGGAGTGGGCTACAATTATTTTATTTAATTACGTGCCAGTCAGGATTCGAACTCGAGATATCTGGCTCTGATACCATGTTAGATAGTATAGAGAGGTATACTGCGTAATGTGGGACGATTGTATTGAGCCTCAGGAGGCCGGTATATATAGAAGTACATGTAGAGAAGATAAGGAAGTAATCCAGACGAATCAATCCTATTCTAGTACGTTTCTAACATCATATGCTCTAACACTCCGCTGCCGCTGCAGGCCACGCCGGCTCCTCTCCCCCGCGACGCCACCCAAAGTTGCTGCAGGCGTTGTCGCCGCAGCCGTTGCGAGAAACTTCGGTCGCCACCGCCACCGAAAGCTCCTGCAGACGTTGTCATCGTCGTCGCCGCAGCCGTCTCGCGAAGCTGCTGCAGTCGTTACCACCATCGTTTTCATGTGAATCAATCGCCTTCTCCTTCCTGGATTCGCCGATGAGGATGTACGGACTCGCCGGATTCCTTCATCCTGCTGCTCCTGCTTCGCTTCCTTGTAGCCGCCGCCCGCCGTCGACATGAAGCATGTGAATGAAGCATGCTGCAGCCACGCCTGATGTACCAAGACACTGATGAAGGCTTCCACGGATTGTTTGATTGAATCAATTCGCTACTAGTTGGGAGTAGTAGTTGAAGGTTCTGACAGATTCGTCGATTTGGTGATTATTTTTTTCTTGTATTTTTCTGTTCTTTTTTCCTTCTGTATGTATGCAGTTGTTTATAAAAACTGGGTACTACATTAATTTCTTTGGAGGAGTAATAAAATTGTGCCAAGATTTGTCATCCGACCAGTGTGAGTTAGCAGCTTCCATCTAAATCCTAATATATCATATTTTTTCATCTCAGGCAGAGATGCACAAGTGCACAACCAAACATGTAAGATGTGAGGCTGCCAATTCAGATGAAGACCGACTCAAATTAGTCACGTAGGCGCCACGTCAGCTAAAATCGTCATCCAAACAACTAGGGGATATATATTGCACCAGTTTTAACAGTTGAGGGATCCGTTGTATCTGGTTTTCCGGTTGAAGGACGTATATTGAATTCCTTGACAAGTTAAGGGACCTCAGATGAACTTACGCCGCACGGAGATGCTCCAGTCCGTGTGAAGGAATAAGTCTACTTTGCCTCCCTCCACTCCTTTCCCTGTTGAATCACATCCCTCAACATGCAAAACCAAGTATAACCCGTCCTCCAACTCATAAAACCGTTGCAAATCGACTCCTCCAACAGTTTCGTCCTACGTGGCATGTTCAACCCTGTTGACTGGCTGAGTCAGCACGTGGACCCCACATGTCAGTGTCATGTAGAGAACCCTAAAAGTGAGGGTAAAATTGCAAACCCTAAAAAGTAGGGGTAAAACAGCTGTTGGAATTAAAAGTGGGGGTATGGATGCAATTGCCCCCTACTTCTTCTATTTGCACTATAAAAAATATACATTTGATAGAACTATTAATTTTTATTTTATTTTTTAGGTGACCTATAATAGATATTATTTATTAGAAGATTTACATTGCCATATATTTCTATGCAACAAAACTTATATATATACATGTTTATGTTTTCACGTTTCACTCATATTTGTATTATATTCCATGTTCTTATTTGAAACATATATTTTATTTGTATTTCCCAAACATAGTAACATAAATATTTGCATGTATTAAATATTTGACTTATTTTTTTTCTCATCAACTAAAATACATTCAAGTAATTATTTGTTTGATACAGTCATCCTATGAGTTGCATATAATTGACTGAAGTCTGAAGGTATTGTTATGAACTTTAAAAAAACTAGAGGTACCACTTTGTTAAT